GTCTTGTCCTTTCATATGGTGAATGGATTGGTCAAACTAATACTACTTATGCTTATTTTCAYGTTTCACTGGTTTTTTTCTATGGTAATGCCGGCGGATTCTACTATTTTAGGCGGTTTAGGCTTTTACAATAAAACATTATAAATATGATATTATAGATTAAATTTATACAAAAGCATTTACTAGGAAAATAAAAAATATTAAATCGTATAGAAGTAAACAAAAACATCTATTTAATTCATATCAAACAATATATGAACGTTTATAACTATTATATGGAGTTAATAACTATAAATTCAATTTTACCTAGTTAGAAATTGGAAAAATATACCTAAAATAGAAAAAAAAATTAAAGAATGATTGATTAACGATTTTATAAGACCGCTCTTAAGCACTTAAGATCACTTAAAACCGTTTAAATCCTTTTAATAACAAAAAAATATATTTTTAAAGACTATAAGGTATACTCAACAGTTAGGCACTCAGACGACGCCCCAATTACCGTCTAGACTGTTTTTTAGAACATTGATTATACCTAAAAGGGTTATGCCGAATGAAAAAGTTACAACAAATTTGAAAGTCGAAACCCATAAGGCTGGCTAAGGGTTGAGAATCAGAGATACAATCTGATAAGAAGAAGAAGATAGAATTCTAAAAGTTAACATGTGACTTGATAAAATTGTGTTTCATAACATTTGGGCTTAACAAAAACATGAACCGTGGCCCAATGAAATTGTTTTTGTTTATCTAATATATTATGCACGATTGTAAAATCCGATAGATGCATTTTTAATAATGTTTTTGCAATATGTTTTATTTTCTATAAATATTTTTATCTAAAATTCGGATTTCATTAATTGGTAAGGTTTTTTCTAACAATATTCATTTAATAAATTTAGGGTCTTTTTAATAAATAACAAAAAAATAGAAAATTAAAAAGTTGGGAAAAAAGGGGTATGTGGCAAATTATAGGCCCTTAGATTTAGGTTTTTTTGTTAGTTTTCAAATTATAGTTTTTTTGTTGTATTTTTGGCAAATTTTTCCATAAATTTAATTGGTAAAATTTTAGTGGATGTTTAAATTTTTATTTGGTAATGAGTATAATATATTCTGTTTGGCAATAAGGATAACTGAATTAAAAAAAAAAATTGAAAATATATTGAAGAAAAATTGTAGTAGTAACATAACATAAAAAAATGAAGATAATGAATTTCAATGTTTCTCTGTTAATATATACGTGTGTTGAAATAACATGTGGAATTATCACTACAAGAAAATAGGCCTATTTCCGACCGAATTTCCGACGGACAAAATCGGTCGGAAATTACCGACGGAAATCCGACCGATTTCCGATCGTTTTTCGACCGGTCAAAAATCGGTCGGAAATTTCCGACGGAAAAACTCCCGTTGCAAATATCGGTCGGAAATCCGTGGGAAAATAAATCGGTAGGAAATCCGTCGGAAAAATCGGTCGGAAAACGGTGGGAAATTCATTCGGTCGGAAATCAGTAGGAAAAAATTGGAGCTATTTTTTAAAATTTAAATTTCCGACCGAATTTCGGTGGGAAATCCGTCCGAAATTTCGCAGATTATTTTCAAAAACAGATCACACCTTCTTCCTCCTC